TTTTATAATTATTTTATGGTGATTCAATTAAAAATACGAGAAAGAAATAATGATAACCGAAACTTTTACTGATTTTTCTTATGAATTCCTTCCAACTAAACATTTTTCCCACAAAAAGTGATATTTTAAATATTTTTCCTTTTAGTATGGTCTTCTTATATATTAACCCAAGGGTTTTTTGTCATGTACAATCACTCTTATTTTATGAAGTCCTATTTGTTTATTTTAATTTTAGTTATCTTTGCCAATGGAGACAAATCACTAAAGATAGTTTTGAGGTCCTAGAGACTTCTGCATGTTTTCCTCAAAATATTTTATGTATTTCTGTCTAACCATGTGAAGTAAAATAAGTAAGTGAGAGAATAACAAATACTTGACCTTGTACTACACAATAAAAAATTCTAAGTAGGAGAATTGATGTTGGAGAATGATGAAGTGTACTGGAAGCCATGTACGGACACTGGGCATTCTGTATCTATTCCTTATTTTCTGACTGACTTCACTCAATTTTTTGCAACATCTATTAGTGCAAGAGAGTTTTTTGCTTACAATTTGTGTCTGGTATGGGTAGTAGAAATCTTTCTTTGGTTGCTCAGGGGCTGCAGCTCTAGTCTCCTGCATGTGTAGATCAGTCGTTCTTCCCCACTGTGGTCTCAGAGTGGGTTCTTACAGCTGAACTGAATTGTCCTAGGCCCAGCAAAGCCAGGCAAGGATTTTAGTTCATATTTAAGATTTTCTGATTATTACCTTCATTTTTTTCTCACAATTACTTCCTTCACTTAAGACTACTTTTACAAAAATGTAGTTTAGATCCAGTTTTAAAACATTGACTTTGGAAAGTAATCCATATTGAAAACAGCTATTCTGGCCAAGTACACTGAGACTACAAATACAAGGCATATTGCCTCTGTACTCCTCTACCTTCAGTGAGGCAGAACAAGCAGACCAGTATCTCTGCCTCAAAAAGCTCCTTAAGGAAGAACAATCAGACTCACTTCAAAAGTACACTGACTAAAGTTAGTATGTGTTTATTTTCTTACATAATTGGCCAATTTTTAAAGAACCATGGACTGAGGACTTCGGAATATGAAAAGTTTGGACATATATAAAAAAAAGAAAATTGCGGTGAGGAAAACAGATATAACTTTAACTCTCCTGTTTGATTTTACCAGTAAATTAAATAATTCTGTGGTCAGAGAAATAGTCCAGCATTAAAGCACTTGTCTTGCATGTGCCCAACCTGAATTCAATCCGCAGCACCACATATGATCCCTGAGCACTGTCAGAGGTGATTTCTGAACACAGAGTCAGGATTAAAACCTGAGCACCACTGGGTGTGGCCTTAAAACTAACAAAATATAAATAATTCTTTTCTGTGAGATTCTTTTGTGTGTCTCTAGACCATGGTTAAGAAGCTTAAGTAGCAGCCAGAGGCAGTTTGTGGGCATGACCTCCAGGGTCCCATGGGAACAGTTACGGGGGATGAGTGGGACTGGTACATCCCCTATCCCTTGAGGCCTGGAGTTTGCTGTCATTGAACCCATGTACCAGCACTTCTCATTGGGTTCTGGAAGTTGGTAGCTGCCAGGGTTTTGCGGGGGCAGGTGGAGGGATGATGCCTGTGTCTGTCTGGGGCACCCTGGTGAAGTCAGTCTGGCTTAAGATCTGGAGGCATCTCTGCAGTGAGCTGCTCGGTTTGGAGATTCTTCTGTGTGTCTCTGGATCATGATCTTGTTTCCATCTTTTCCAGAGAAATAAAGTATTGGCATATGCCCTACAGGGCGTACCTGCTCACTCACGGTGCACCACGCTGCCGACATTAACTGTGGCTTTTGATCTCTTTTGAGATTTATGGGTCTCTGAAGTAAGGCCAATAAGTGAACTTGTATATCTGAGCCGGAGGTGGATTGTGAGTGTGCCTCCTACATACCTAACTTTTGGCAGTTTAATTTCTTTGTCAACTTGGCCGCAAGTTGTTGGGGTCCGGCCAAAGGCACAGTAGCAATTTGGGGGCATCAGAAAGTCTGAAGGCACCATCAGAATGCTGATGCACTTCCCCCACAGGTACAGGTTGACCTGCTGGGCAGCACCATATCCCAAACTCTCAAAAAATGTTAAGTTGTAACACCAGAGGGCTGTGAGTACAGTGAGTGCTTTGCATCGGGAGAAGCTGGCTTTGGTCCCTGGTATCCTATCTGACCCAAGCTAGCTAGCAGTGAACCTTGAGCACAGAGCCCTGGCACAACTGGGTGTGACCCAAAATTTAAGAACAGAAACAAAAAAATCCAAGGTTGCCACACCAAATTCAGGCATGCCTGTGAGTATTATAGTGTGCAATGTGAAAGAAAATATGAAAGGTGAAATCAATCTAACAGCACTATTCTAAGTAAAGAGCGTTTTGACTCAGACTAAATAATGTACTCTTGAGAATCAGTCTCGTTAGAATGAAAGGATTTTGTTTTACAAATCTAAATATTAACAATTCAAAGCATTGACAATCAAAGTGCCATTGATTAGCCAGAGTTCCACGTAACCTCTAACTTAGCTCTACCGCCCCTGTCTTGATAGGTTGTCTGCATTTCTATATATGAGTGTTTGCGTTAATTTTAACCTCCAAAGTATCGCCTGCTGCTTTGAAATATGACTGCTATGCCTCTCTATCCATATTATTAGCTGAAAATCTGAGATATGTCACAACTTGCCTTACTCTTTAATAGTTGTTACTTCCAATGGTACTGTTCAAATGTTTTAATCTTGTAATTCTACGAATAGAAATAAATTTTAGCATTCAACTCTAATAGTTTTTGTTTGAGGCCACAACTAGTGGTGACCAGGGCTTAGGCCTGTCTCTGGGCTTAGGGATAACTTCTAGAGGTGCTCATGGAACCAATCAAGGTGCTGGGGATCAAATTCAGGTCAAACACATGCAAGGCCAATCTAGAGGTGCTCATGGAACCAATCAAGGTACTGGGGATCAAATTCAGGTCAAACACATGCAAGGCCAGTGCCACTTAATTATCTCTCTGGTTCTCTAATAGTTTCATATTTAATTTTAAATGTATTTCAAATTAAAATTTTAAAATAAAATATATTAAAGTATTTTCCTTTCATTTTTATTTTGGTTTTGTGGACAAATCCAGTGACCCAGTGCTACTTAGGGTTCATTCTTGGCAGGTCTGGGGGACCACATGGGGTACCTGGAATTGAACCTGGGTTGACCATATGCAAGACAAGCACAGTACCCTACAAGCTTTACTATTTTTCCATCATCTGGTATTAAAGTATCTTAAAAGTAATACTTTAAACACAATCTATTAAAACACTGCTTTATTAATGCATCAGTGTATTAATGCGTTTAATTTACTTTAAAAATGTCTTTAATTTAATGTATGTCATAAATTACCCAAATATAAAAATTGAATAGTAAATTGTAGGATAACATTGTTCTGTCCTTCCTGCATAACCTCAGGAATAGTTGATATTTGATAGTTTATTGGGCTGAGGAAAAGAGAAAAACACCTTAAGAGGTAGTTTGCCCTTGGGCAGTCAGGAAGGGCTTTAGAATGACCTTTTAGATGGGTCCTCAGGAAGGGCTTTCTTATGTTGATTTGGCTACCCGACTGGGTGAAGTGTCAGCCCAGACAAGAAGGGAGCTGGAGAAGGAGAGAGCAGGGCTGCAAGAGGGACCACGGGGAGACTAGCAAGGGGAACGTGTGCTTGAGAGAACCTAGGCCCTCCATAACATAAGGTCCTTCTATGGGATAAACTTCCTTGTAATAAACTGCCACTAAGATCAACCGGCCTGGCCCTCGTCTCTTCCTTCGTCTACGCTTGGCCAACAGCCCTTCCGATCCAGGCCACACAGAGCGGCTCTAAGGCACCGAACGCGGGAGGTGAGATAGAGCCGTCCAGAGAGCCCGCGAACACACAACCTTCAGCGTGCATAGTTTTTTACAGTAAATAATGTCGGTGATAAAATAAATGTTAAGAATAAATGAATGGAAGTTTTATCATTTTGTTTCTATAATTTAATGGATCATTTTATATGTACTATCAAATGCATATGCTCATAGTAGGAAAACCACAGTCTACATCACATTCTACCCACCACCATCTCTAACGACCTACCCACAATGTATCTGGAGTCATGTTTGGAATTCCAGAATGCCTTGGACTTAAGTCAAATTGTAGCAGTATTCATAATAGAATTCATTTACATCACATGATTAAGAATATCTTTCCCAAACTCTAATTTTTGAAAAAGTCTAGGTTTTCATAGGCCAAAGGGAAGGATCAGGGACTCAATTTCAAACCATGACATTAAATGGGGCTGGAACGATAGCACAGCGGGTAGGGTGTCTGCCTTGCAAGTGGCCAACATGGCCTACCCGAGTTCTATTCCTCCGCCCCTCTCGGAGAGCCTGGCAAGCTCCCCGTGATGTATTCGATATGCCAAACACAGTAACAACAAAGTCTCCAATGGAGACGTTACTGGGCCCGCTCAAGCAAATCGATGAACAACAAGAGGACAGTGACAGTGACATTAAATGACCCTCCCCCTCAAAAAAATGTGCTGGGTGTAGTGCTTGAGGCCCCTCAATATTATCAGGGATTACTCTAGGGATCTTCGTAAGGAGGTCTTCCTGGCCCCAGTACTGCAGGGCCTAAGAAACTCTACATCTTCCAGCCCTTGCATTCAACCACTTGGCCACCTTGGGACTGATCCCTTCAGATCCCTGACCATTGTTTGAAAGCCCACTCCCCACATACCAAAATAAAAAACAACAAATCTGGATTTTCATATGCAAATATTGCAGACAGATTTATATAACAATATTACTGTGCTGTGCTGTACTCTTTTTAAAATTTTTTATTAGTGAATCACTGTTGGGGTACAGTTACAGACTTACATACTTTTATGCTTGCATGTGCTTTTGATAATGATTGCTACTACTGCATTACTGACAGAAGTATTCAGGTTAGAAATGTCAATAGAGTACCTCGATAGTTTGGGGGAGATTGTCCTGGCATGGAACAAGAAGAGATGTCTTCTCCCATTTCTGTACTATTTGATTGGCTTCTTCTATTTTCTGCTCACAGCTTTTATGAGAATTTAGCAATGTGACCTCATAAAATTCTTGAATATCTGTGAAGAGTAGAATTAAAACATCATGTATAAATAGTTTATACATACCTTATAAATAGCATTATTATAAATTTATTTATTTTGTTTTATATTTACATATAATATATAATGTTGAGATAAAATATTATAATATTATATTGTATATAATATATAATATATATTATCACAAGGGTGTGGGGCGGGTGAGAGACCTCCCCACCCCAACGAACCCAGCCCCTGCAGCTGACCTCCACTACTCAACCACCCTCACGCTCCAGGCCACTTTCCAGACACTCAGGCCGAGCCTCACACAAGAATGAAGTCCCACGGAACCCAGATAATGCGGAACTTTGTGATCTTGGATCTGGACTCAACTGGACCGGAACAGAGATCCTCTGCCTGCTTCCCTCAGTCTCCAGTGACTCGGGGATCACACCCATAAACCACATTCTGCTGGCACCAGATAATCTTCTCATCAGCCACGCTCCAGAACTCACAGATGCTCCTCCCAGACGGAAGTATAAAAAGAGGCTCCCAAAACCATGCCACTGGACTCTGTGCCAGACTATGGGGTGTGTGAGAGCCCTCCCCACCCCAAGGGACCCAGCCCCGACAGCCAACCTCCACTGCCCAACCACCGCCACCAACCACCGCTCCAGGCCACTTTCTGGACTTTGTGGCCATGCAACACATTATAAGACACTTCCTACCTATTTATGCATGCTTCTTGGAGAGCCTGGCAAGCTACCGAGAGTATCCTGCCTGCATGGGCAGAGCCTGGCAAGCTCTCCGTGGTGTATTTGATATGCCAAATACAGTAACAATAATAGATTTCATTCCCCTAACCCTTAAAGATTATCCAATGTTTGGGAAAAGACGAGTAAGAAGAGGCTGCTAAAATCTCAGGGCTGGGAGGAATAGTGATGTTACTGGTGCCCACTTGAGTAATTCGATGACCAACGGGATGACAGTGATACAGTGATATAATATTTATTATATAATATTATATGATATAATATTAATATAAAACGAATTATTAAATTAATAAAATAATTATTTATTAATAAATATAAATTTATTCATAATTTATATTTATTTGCTCGAGCGGGCCCAGTAATGCCTCCATTGGAGACTTTGTTGTTACTGTGTCTGGCATATCGAATACGTCACGGGGAGCTTGCCAGGCTCTGCCGTACAGGTGAGATACTCTCGGTAGCTTACCGGGCTCTCCGAGAGGGGCGGAGGAATCGAACTCGGGTCAGCCATGTTGACTGCATGCAAGGCAAACACCCTGCCGCTGTGCTATCGCTCCAGCCCACATTTATATTTATAGTAAATATAAATTATTAGATTTACTATAAATTTGTTTAATACCTATTGATTATTATAAATAGGTATTATAAATAGATACCTTATAAATAGTATCTGTATGAAGGTATACTTAGAAAAAAATGCTGATTAAAGAAATTTCATAAATATATAATCCAAACAAACTTAATAAGATAGAAAACTTAGATTTAAATTTTTCACTTTGAAACTTCTGATGGTAAGTTTATTTATAATTGAAAAACCTGAAAACAACCAAGAGATCCTTCAGTTGGTGAATGGAAAAACTGTACTGAATTTATTTTTACATGTAAATATATAGTTTTACTATATATTTACAGTATATTCCAACCCAAAGATGATCTGAAATTATAATTTCCCTCTGAAATTGTCTAAAACAAAATGGCATAACCATTACAAGAGTTCAGAACTGCAAGACACACACATCTTCTAAAACACAAGGTCAACTAACATCAAACCTATAGCATTATTAAACATGATGATAAAGCATAAAATGATAAATGCCCAGCCAGTACAAAACAGTTCCCAGGCATGAAGCTTGGCAGGGACACATTCAGGATGCCTACTGCCATTAGCATGACTGCTGCAAAGCTGAACATTAGTTTTGCTTTTTGTCCTTTGTCATTAAAGCAAAAAAATTCTCTGCATCTTTTTTTGTTAATGTCAAAGATGTAAACATAGAGTAGGGTACAGAGAACTGACTTTGGATTAGATTTGGTGATATCAGTACAAATTCATGTTTATCTTGTATATCGGTCAATGGGTAAGTGTAGAAATAACTATATGTGCATATATACAAACTCACATACAACAAAATATTTTCTTGCTCTACTTACTATAAGGAGCGATAGCACAGCGGGTAGGGCGTCTGCCTTGCACGCAGCCAACATGGCCGACCCGAGTTCGATTCCTCCGCCCCTCTCGGAGAGCCCGGCAAGCTACCGAGAGTATTCGATATGCCAGACACAGTAACAACAAAGTCTCCAATGGAGACATTACTGGGCCCGCTCAAGCAAATTGATGATCAACAGGAGGGTCTTTACTTACTATAAGGTAAAGGTAAAGGTAAAGGTAAAGGCCCTCCCGTTGATCGTCGATTTGCTCGAGCGGGCCCAGTAACGTCTCAATTGGAGACTTTTGTTGTTACTGTGTCTGGCATATCGAATACTCTCGGTAGCTTGCCGGGCTCTCCGAGAGGGGCGGAGGAATCGAACTCGGGTCGGCCATGTTGGCCCCTTGTAAGGCGAACGCCCTACCCGCTGTGCTATCGCTCCAGCCCACTTACTATAAGAATAAGCACTATATGATCAGATTTGATCTCTATATAGCAATGTCCCAATGTAATACAAGTAATGATTATGGTAATATTCAAATACTATCTTTAGAATTCAAGAAAATAAAGGGAGAAGATATCAAAAACAGAAATAAAAGTTTACAAATTTTCTAGCTCTTTAATATATCTCTAGAGTGAGAGAGGGTGTAGATGCCAGGACAGATCAGCAACCTAGAGTCCAGATTTTGGTAAGAACAGCCACCAAACGGCAACCATGAAGAAAAAAATAAGATGTATGGAATGTTGTCTGAGGGGATGGAGGGAGCAGACAATTTATTTCCTTCTTCCTGATCTCACAAAGTATTTATAAGATGCATTTTATATTTATTTCTCATTCTGCTTTATGCTATATCTATCAACTACTCAATAACTTTGCATGACATCTATCCTCTACTCAATAATTTTTTTAATTTTTTTAATTTTTATTAGTGAGACATCCTGAGATACAGTTGTAGACTTACGATTTTTGTGCTTGGGTTTCAATTATACAATGATCAAATATCCATCCCTCCACCAGTGCCCATTTCCCACCACCACGGATCCCAGTATCCCTCCCAGCCCCCAGCCCCCATCCAACACTGCCTCTGTGGCAGGGCATTCCCTTTTGTTTTCTCTCTTATTGGGTGTTGTGGTTTGCAAAAGAGGCAATGGGTGACAATCATGTTTGGTCTATAGTCTATTTTCAGCATGCTTCTCCCATCCTGGGAGGATCCTCCCAACACCTTTGTTTGGTGATCCCTTCTCTATCTGAGCTCCCTTTTCCCCCAGCATGTGTGGTTGGCCTCCAAGCCATGGATTTTTAAGAGCCAAACAAAACCTGTAGGAATTACCAAGCTAGTCAAGTTTTCCCCACCATGTCCCATAATTACTCACACTCAGTAAGAACCAAATCAATGTTTACTAATAATAGTTTACCTCCCTGTTTAGCATTGCCTACCTTCCCAGGCTAATAAAAGAAAAATAATTGATTAAACTAAAATCTCTTTACTTTCAGGACTACACATTGTTTGTATCATGTTCTGTGATTTGACTATTGATGTGATTACAATAGCTAGCATTTTTTTATTTTTTGCGCATTTCATCCTTCAACTGATAAAAAATGACACTTCATAATATTTTGACTTCACAGCTAACTTTAGAAGGTTTATAAATTGTTGGCTGACTTATAGAGTGATTCTCAAATTCTTCTGTATAATGCCTTTCAATCATTTAAGGAATTTAAAAAAATAAATTATTATTAAAACAGATAACTGAGTCCTGAATCTCTGCATACCTACCAATCTCCCTGCTGGTATTAATAATTTCTGATCACCAACAAAAATGGACTGAAGAATAGCTTTTCTGTAATCAGAATTAAAGGCTTCATACTTTCATTCCAAAAAAACCTTGATAAATTATTACAACCCGCTTTTTCAGAGTAAGTGGTAAGGATGAAGTTTGATGGGATTTCTAGAAAGAGTAGAAAATTTGTGAGAACTATGCTCATTGCTTGGTTTAAAAATAATGGGGCCTGAGTGATAGTACAGATGATAGGGCATTTGCCTTGCATGCGTCCAACCTGGGTTCGATCCCTGGCATCCTATATGGTATCCCCAGAACTGCCAGGAGTAATTCCTGAGTGCAGAGCCAGGAGTAACCCCTGAGCATGTCTGGATGTGACCCCAAAAGAAAAAAAAATTAGTAATTACTGACTAAATTGGTTTAGATTCAAATATCTATAATTTCAATTAAACTGTATTTTAGTACTCTTATGACATATTAAAACAAACAACCACACCTAGGTAGGTGAATCTTTTTTATTTGAAGATTTGTTTTTGACATGGCCACAATTCATTGGACAAACTGAAAATAACAAGTGAGAGAGAAATAAATTTCCTTTTTCATCACTAAAACTAAGAAAATAAGACTCAAATGATAAGGCTGTTTTTGGGCATGACTCACAAATTGCTCAGTAATTATCTACTTAATCACATTAAAACAAAAATTAACCAGAATGTAGAAAATTTATTTATATACTTTTTATCTATTACCTCACCAACCAAAATAAAAGTGACTGGAAAAAGGTCTTGTCAATTTGTCCTTGCCTTTCCCGCCAAGCAAGGTATTAGCGGAACCAAATAAAGTAATTTCCCTGTCAGTTGAAATCTGTTTAGAGTTTATTGTTATTCCATATAATTTTGTGATGGGAACATATCATGTAATTTGCAAAGGTGTTTAATCCCCCAAATTTACTGATACAGCTGAGAATTCTCTACTTAGAGTTCAAGTAAGGACATTTTAATCTATTTCAGCGTGAGTTATTTTAAAATATAGTCCTTACGCTACTTCTAATATCACTCTT